AAAAAAAAACAAAGCAATCAACTATCTATAAACATCACAATATTAGTTATATGTAATCAAGTCAATGAAACTGTCAAACACAATAAATCCTGTCGTATAATCAGTCTTTTGAGAAATTTAGCTAACAATTGAATGTGTCGATTGGTTATATTTTTTTCTTTTCTGAGTTGTCTCTATATTTATCGTCCAGAACAAAAAAAACATTGATAGAAAGCATTAGATATTTTTGAGGATGTGGGGGGGGGAGGGAACATTATAAACTTTGTTGACGCTGTTATTCTCTTTGTTAGTTATTTTGTGAGTTTTACTGATAATTATAAACTAGGTAATTCTTTTTTCATCATTGAAAAATTTCTATGATAATTAAAAAATATACAGATATATGAACGAAGAACATTCCTCTACTGTGATTAATATGATTACTTCTACTTACAGGGTCAATTTTAAAAATTATTGGATGTACAGCAATGTACAATGTACAATTATATATTTCTTTAAAATATGAATTGTAGTAATCCATTTGTACTTTACACCATTCACTCAGTTAAATAGATAAATAATTATAATTTCGTGGATTGGTTGAAGTTAGACATTAACAACGTTGGATGCTAGATCAGTTGTTTACAGGTTAAGCGTTCTCTCGCGAGACCGATAGGTCCTGGCTTTGAATCTTGCGGGGTGGGATAGCGGATGAGCACTGTTGAGGAGTCGCACAATAGGACGAAATAGCCGTTCAGTGATTCTAGGTTTTATATGGTGGTTCAGTTCCAAATGACTCATGAATTCAACCATTAAATTACATATAATTTGACAAGTGATTGTATTCATTCATAATTCATTGTTGAATATCTCAATTATTCTTAGAATTTTCACAAAGTGGTTTCAGTTGATTTTCTTCTTGCATTTCCTTTAGTTCAACAGTGACATTTCAAGTGTTACAAATTATTCTAAAAAAGGTACTATTCATGATTGTAGAATAAAATTTTCTCCTACTTTGATGATTGTAATTATTATTATTATTATTATCAGCTTCATTCAATATTATATTTTTGGTACAATATAGAATTCTCAGCGTAAAGTATTTCAACAAGTTTCCGTTTCTTTCTGCTTGGTCGATCCTGGCGATAAATATTAAGTGATCGCCAGTTAGATGTTAGCAGTTCAGTAAGTCAACATCTGAAAAATGTGCATACTTTTCGCTGTATATTGCCAGCAACCAAATTGTCTCTTATTGAGTTTTTTGTAACTTTCAAAACAAAAGGTTGTACACTTTTCAGAAGAGCAGCAGAATAGGTCATACGATGATTAAACATAATGATATATTAAAACAAAAAAAAATAGATAACATGTTGAAATATCTAGATGGTAGGAACAGGTAGCCCAGAAGCTCAAGCAGGCCGCCCTTTATTAAATGAAATGGTTGATAATTTAACATCATTTACCAGTAATAATAATTTTCAGTATCGATAGTGAATGATAACTTCATTAAATAAACTAATTGATGAAGTAACATTTTCCTTATTCTAGAAAAGAATACCATTAATATTACTTTTAAGACTGCTACCACTAATACCATGACTATTATTACTCAAAGGTTTATTTGAAAAATATATATCATTTGGTTCATACTCTTATTGATGCAGTATTATTAGTGTTAAGTATATATGTTGTGATGCGTAAGGAAATAACTTTTAAGGAAAGGTTTCAAAAGAATTTATACATAAATATGACGTTACGAGTTTTCCGTTACCATTTTGTTTAAGTCAACTTATCCATACACACATAACATATATACTATGTGTGTGCAAGGATAAGTTGGCTTGAACGAAATAATATATATATATATATATATATATATATATATATATATATATAGTGTTTTATAGCTTCTTTTCATTATTATCATTGTTCATGTTTGTCCTAAACGAAAAAAAGAGTTAAATTGTTATATGTTCATCTCATTTAGAATAGTTCTTTATTCGTTTAAATTCACCGAACCAATTAGGCTAGGAAAAGAATTTTTAAAAATATTCCACATTTTCTTTTGGTCTTAAGGGACTAAATAACGTGAATATATATATAGTTTTAAAAAGGTTTCTCGCCTTTTCTCACTGATCAGCATGCATCACACCTTTCTATCTCTATCCAGAGAACATTAATTTATAAGATAGAAATAAATGGAAATTAGTGGTATTATTCTGTTTCTTGTGTGTATTCTCTTCCTATCTAAACTTTTTATATTATAATATGAAAACGTTATTTACTAAACATTTTTTATCCTCCCTCGAGATTCAGTTCTTGAAATATGATACATATATATTGCATAAAATGATAATACTGATCGAAAGACAAGAATACACCAACATTCTTCTCCATTCTTATTTATTTTATAAATAACATATATATACTACTATTAAAACTGTACATATATGTTAATAACATTTTAATAAAAGTTTTAACATTAATTGAACTATGATACACATTTAAATGGTTATATTATACATATGTGTATACCTTTAAAAGTATTTGTTTTTCTTTCTCCCTCTTTACTTACCTACGAAGTAGAATAAAAACCAAAGATAAAGGGAATGAATGCTTCTCTATTATCTCTTTATAATAAAATTGACTTATTTTTTCTTTACTCATAATTCTCACTTCATACTTAGAAAAATTTGAGAAAAACATGGTTACAGTTATGCAATAACTCGTTGTACAGAAAATCACCTTTTTTTCCTACTTCAATAATTAAGAATAATCTAATTAAATATATAAGGTGTAAAGAGAAATATAATATCAGAAAGGGATTTTTGTGGATATTATAGTAATTTAATAGTTAAGATCATGAGTCAATTAAAGCTAGACCACCATGGAAAACTTGGAAGCACTGGACGATTATTCCATTCTTAGCATTCATGATCTCCCTCACGGGATTCAGTTAATAAAAAAATTATACAGTTTTACTTTTTAGTGTTAAAAGTATAACACTCAATAAAAACATGATTGATATATTTGAGAAAAGATTGTTGACTAATTATGAAATGAAATTTTTCCCATTGAACAGTTAAATCATGTTAGTCTATTTTCTTGAATACATTACAAAAGCTAATTATATTCAAAGATAACAACGAACAGTACTGTTGGACTATTAATGATTATCATCATGTTATTTTGTAGAATTTTCGTTGCTAAGTTAGATTTGAACTAACTAGTACAGAAATAAACTAGCATTGATTGAAGTAGCTAGTTAAACATATTTTAAATTGTATACGTTCTATGCAGTTAAACTAACCACTTGGTTAGAGGCTTAAATTTGGAGAACTTAAAAGGTTTAATAATTAGACTATACTCGTCTGGCGCGAGACTGACAGGTCCTGGGTTCGAATCTCGCGGAGTGCGGGATCGTGGATGCGCACTGCTGGGGAGTCCCATATTAGAACGAAACGGCCGTCCAGTGCTTCAAGGTTTCCCATGGTGGTCTAGCTTCAATTGACTCATGATTTCAATCTGTAAAATGAACTTATCAATGTCACATAGTTTGGATGTTGATTATTGAATATTGAATTAATTAGAAAATTCATGAATTATTAGTTGGTTAAGTTACTAAGTATTGTTCGAACTAGATAATGATGCCTTGCATTATAGAGATATTTAAAGCACTGATGTGATATGAGATTTATTAGATATTATGATTACCTGTATTCAAAACTTTCTTATTAATTTTTGTTAACCAATCAGTATTACATACAATATAAAATGATATTAAATCATTGAACAGATCAATTGTTAAATTTGAATGACAATAGAATTTCATTTAGATTTCAGTCACTGATAAGTTATAGATTAAATGGATACTATGTGGAATGAGGCTTATATAAAAATATATACTTACTTACTTACGCCCGTTACTCCTCGTGAAGGAGCATAGGCCGCTCACCAGCATTCTCCATCCAACCATGTCCTGGGCAATCCTTTCTAGCTCTTACCACTTGTTATTCATCCTTTTCGTATCTGCTTCTATTTCCCGACATAATGTGTTATTTGGCCTTCCGCTTTTCCGCTTCACTCCAGGATTCCAAGTTAGGGCTTGTCTCGTGATGCAGTTTGATGATTTGTGTAATGTATGTCCTATCCACCAACTCCATAATCTTTCCTAATTTCCTCTTCAGCTGGAAGTTGGTGTGTTCTCTCCCACAGAAGGCTATTGCTGATGGTATCCGGCCAATGGATGTTGAGTATCTTGCGTAGACAACCATTTATAAATACTTGTACCTTCTTGATGGTGGTTGTTGTATTTCTCCAAGTTTCAGCTCCGTACAGTAGAACTGCTTTGATGTTTACTAGAATTTCTTTGCATGTCGGATGATAACTGAATACGAATAAGTGCTTTGCACATTAATACTAAACTACTTTCAAAATTTATAATATTGCGTAGCCATGATTTGACATTTTTAAAGTAACATTTATTCCCTCCCTCCACCCCTCTGGAAAGCTGTTTTCTTTTAATGGTTGAAATCATGAGTCCATTGGAGCTAGACCACCATGGAAAACCTGGAAGCACTGGACGGACGTTTCGTCCTAGTATGGGACTACCAAGCAGTGCGCATCCACGATCCCACCCCTCGCGAGATTCAAACCTAGGTCCTATCAGTTTCGCGCCAGGCACTTAACCAACTAGACCACTGAGCCAGCATCCAACGGTGTTATTCTCTAACTTCAACCAATCCACGAAGTTGCGTCACCGTACACCATTGTCTTCAGTGAATTCCTAACTCACAACAGACCTGGTTGAACTCCACTGGTAACGTCTTCTCACTAGAACTCCAGGAGTGTCGCCTGAAGTCAGTCACTAGTGAGCAGGTGATTATTATCAGAATGGGTTTTGTAGATATTTTTGGAAATTTCACTGGTTTTCTCTTAATAGGACAATAAATCTACTCTCAGATATTTCAGGATAATTTAAATGATTCAGGTTTTCTTCATAGATATTTCACCCTATTTATATGAAATCTAATCATTATCAAAATATTTTAATAGTATTGTTGATTTTCTTAACAGGTTTAAATCAAACTGATCAACCATCATCGGATCATCAATTAACAAAATATTTAAATATAACATGTACTGATTCGAAATCAATAGAAAAACATCATAATTTATCACCTCAATCAACAATTCAATCATTGGATATCACTATAAATGAATCCAAAAATTCACCAAAATCAGATATAAAATGTTCTAATGATAAATTAAAACAAGATTTCTCTCAAATAAAATTATTATCTAATTCATTTAATACTATCATTAATGATAAGGAAAATTTAAATTATTATCATCAATATAATAATAGTAATAATAATAATATGAATATGAATAAATGTTTCGATGTAACTGATTGTTATCAATCCCAAGAAACTGATCATTTTTCAGATTCATTCAATAGTTCCACTTCTTGTACATCAACATCTCATTATATTCAAATTCAAGAAGATGGTATAGATAATACTGATAAAGAAGAACTTGAAATTCGTCGTAAACGACGTAAACAAATATTACCACAACAGAATTTTCATTTTACTCCAGTTATAACTAATAATATGGATGATTTGATGGAAATTAATGACATATCAAACGAAAATGATATGACCAGATTCATAGATTATGAACTAGATGACAGTGTAAGTTATCAACCAAAAATAAGAAAATTATCTAAATCTTCATCAAAAAACGAAGTGGAGCATTTAGAAACTGAAGAATTAGAAGAAGTAAAAGAAAAAGAACATACAGAAGGGAATATAGAGAATAAAGATGTAGAAATGAATTCAGATGTTCAAATGATTAACGCTGATGATGACCATATACTTAATCAAACAGATAAATTATTCAATAAAAGTTTCTCTCCTACTATTAACATAAATTCAGAATATAATAAATTAATTAGTGAATTAAGTCAATATGCTGTAGAAGCATTTCGTCGAAGTTTAACAAATCAATCAACTAAAGTACAAAAAGGTTTAGATAATGAAATGAATAGAAACAATTGTAGCGGTGATATCGATGGCGGTAACACCACTACTACTGCTATTAATAATAATAATAATAACACAGAAGAAAGAATTATTGAACAAACATTATTAAAACTTGAACCACATATATCTGAATTAGTCGGTCAATCATTAAGAACAAGTATTGAAACAATAAAAAACGAAATGTTATCTAATTTTAAAAGAATCAATAATCATTCATCTATGAATCTATTACATAATCAATCTGAAATTAATGAAAATAATAAAACACTAGAAATTAGAAATCAAGAAATATTTCCTGAAACATTTCAACATTTCAATGATCCACATAAAGATGATACTAATTCTAATGAAGAAATGAAACCAAATGATTCAATTGAAATGGTACCTATGGAAAAAATGGATCATTTAACTAATAATTTAAAACAACATTTACATAATACAACAATAAATACAAATAAACAAATGAATAATAATAATAATAATAAAATATTACCATCTAATAATTTAGTGGATCAATCTATAGAAAATGATCAAATTTCTATCATAAATAATCATTTATCAAATATAGTAACTCATTCAAATGATCCTATTCAATCAGCTTATAAAACATTACTGACAAATAATACATTAAAATTACCTATAAATAATCTTACATTCAATTCAATGAATCATATGAATCCAGCCTATTCAACTTGTAATATTGATCATAATGATTCTATTAATAATTGTATAGATACAATTGATTTTAATAAACAAATCATACATAGTATCCATGAAGAAAAAGAAAAATCTTTACAATTTCCTTCATTTTTCACTAATTTAAATGAGAATAATAATCAAATATATTCAAGAATTTCATCTAATGATCTATCTATGATTAATGTAAGTTTATTTATACTTTAGTTATATAATAGTGAGAACAATAAGATTTTAGATTGATTTTAGCAAGTGAATTATTGAAAATCATGAACCACTAGTTAGTTGTTTTATTCTAGTTGGGTATATTTTTGGAATCATGCAAATGCTTTAAAACTTTCTAATAGCTAGCGAATATTTTTTTTAAGTTTTAAATTCGAGAAATATAACTGGAAATCCAAGACACTAACTGGTGTTTATTCATTTTAGGAGCGAAATGTTTGTTACTGATAACAATCAGTGATTATCATGAAGCATAACAGGTTACTGAAAGTGGAGATGTGGATTGTTGAATCTTGAGTCAGTGATCTAAATCTAATGCTTTCACCTCTAGAACTTTATGACCTTGGTTCAGCCCTGCGTAGAGTTATAGGTTGATACTGCTGTTGAGTTTTTAGGTCAGGATTAAACAGCTGTGGGTTATTTTCTATTTTCTAATGAGTCTCTTGTTGATGTTGGCGGTGATGAAAAATATATTGAAATTGAGAATATCTACACAACCTATTTATTTAAATGTCTTTCTGTTAGAGGTACATTAGTCCACAATAAGAGTAGAAACTATTTAAAGCTTATTAGTCTTAAATATCCTCTATTGAAATTGATAATGCAGTTAATTATACTAAGCTAACAAGGAGAGAATCAATGACACAGTATAAAATGATCTTCGACAATACTGAAGGATATCAATCATTTCCAAATAATTGTTTATAAAAGGTATTGTGTAGCAACAAGATGCTTTGTGCTTAGTCGTGTTTATTTTGTCATAATAATATCTAAGCTACATTAAATCTTCCTTTCACGTATTAAAGTAGCAACGGTCCCAACCATTTTCAATAAAAACATATAATGAGAAATCCCTTTTGAGTAATATTCATGTGTCCAATTTCTTCATTAATTTTATTGGTAGAAAATTTGTTGGTACAGATCTGTAAAATTGTCTTGAAGCCATCATTCAAATAAAGAAATACGCCATTTTCTCATTTGTACATTATGACAACAAAACAAATGCGAAAACATTTTAAATTAAAAGAAAAACCACCATCAGGATCATATTCTGTATGTTTAGTTTGTAACTCTCATATTTTCCCACATATCTGTAGCGGAATCTCTGAATTCTATCTCTAAGATTCAATCAATTATAATGTGGTTTGCGAAAATAACTAGACTAATTTGTGTTTGGATAAATAACCATAGATTGTATAGACAAATATTCATTCATAGAACTATGTAAGATATTACAATTTAAAGTAGTTGGAGCTTCATAACTGGCAAGTATTCTGTTGATAACTGTCCAGTGAGCAAGTCATTCATGAATTAAAGAATAAACGTCTTCATCTTCTTTAAAACTATCAGATAACATACTTGTTAATAAATTGTTTACTTGTCAACTTTCAAAAATTCTATTCTTTCTATAAATTAATTAGCTATTTAAGATCGTTATTTCAGATTGGTAACCGTTTGAAGTTTTATTATAAACGGATACTGTATATAAAAATACCTAATAAAATAAAACAGAAGAATATGTTATTCTAGATTAGAATTCTTTAGTAGTATGAAGTTAAACAAACTACTCCTCAGAGCTTTCGCCTTCTCATTACTTATTACGTCATGGGTATATTTTCACTCAATAATCTTAAAAAATCAGTCATTATTATCTTTAAAAGCGTCTATAGAAGTTCCTTTCTAAAATCATGAATTACTGAAAAATGTTATGTGAAACGAATGTTCCATATCACTAGAAAGACTACTTAAATTTAGACTTATACTGTGTCTGTAATAATAACCTTATCCGTAATGAAATGTGGAGTAAATCTGTTTCATTTTGAAAGGCCTGGTATTGTAAAAATTATTCAGAAAACCTAGTTTTAGCAAAACATATATATGTATTTAATGCTCTCTTGTTTCACAGTAAGGACTGTTTACAAAGTAAACTATATTCATTTGAAAGACGATAAATAAAAGCATCTCACTATCAGTCAATGTATTTATAATTTAAAACAACTTGTTTCAAAATTTCTTTGATCGAAATTGAATTTGTTATTTCATTCAGTATGTATGTATTTACATTTCACAGACGAATTCACCTCCGTCTTCATCCCAATCAGTTGACTATATTAATTCTAACCAGTCAGTTGATATTAATTCATCTGAAAATGTTACCTCATCAATGTTGACTAATACTACCACTTCAACATCTTCATCGTGTGATCCTGTAACGGCAGCGGCCGCCGCTGCTGCTTTAGTTAACGTCTTAGGATTTCCAATTCCATACAGTTGGTCACCGAAAACATTAACTGACATGCAAGATGCTTATGGATTACTATCAAATCCATATTATCATTGGCCGTGGAAACTTCTTAATTCTTCTTATGCATCAAAATATTCTGATCAAAATACACTTCTTCAATCTAGTTCACTAGTCAATAATACTATGAATATTATAAAGCAATTGAATAAAGTAAACCCGGTCTCAACATTGAATTCTTGTTTGAAATCAAAATTTCCATTTAATGACGAAATAAACAAAACAATATAATGATGTTTAACGATACAACTTCTTTGTCAACACAAGCAATGTCATCAGATGAACAGGTGGAAGCTATACCTTTAATAGTAAGACCTGACAGAAAAGTAAATAAATCTGGTTCAGTCATAAATAGTAATAGTATCATGTATACCAGCTGTTCATCAAATTTGACAACTAGTACTAGCGTAACAACGGCACCAATAACAAATGAGGGTAATTCATTTCACGGACCAAATATTAGTCGCAGAAGACGCACTAAAGTTACTGACACACGTCTAAGTCATTCACGTGTTTCACGTTATCCAAATAATGCATTTTCGAATTGTACAACGACGAATTCTGTCATGCACCAAAACAATCGACATTATCATAACCAACCAATATCACAACAACAGTCACTTCTTCAATCAACTTCAGACATTATTGACTTGGGGCAGGCATTAAATTTGGTCACATCAACTTCGACATCTTTTGGATTGAGTGTGAACCAAATGCAAACTGATGATAAAGAATCCTTACTTATAAGCCAAAATCTTTTACCGGGTATAAATCAGGCTAAATATCGCAACACTGTTATTTCTACCGGTACTTCTACTTGTAGTATTATTAACAACACGAGTAATTTAAAATTAGATGATTTCTATTCTGCTAAGTATCGATCAGAAAATCAAATTCATAGTGGTGGTAGTAATAATAGTAGTCCATCACCAATTTCATTACGTCTTTCAGGCTATTCAAAAGAAATGACTGATAATACCTCAGAAAATCCGAAGGGACATTGTCATGAAAATGTAGACATTTCAGAATCAGACAAGAATATCGATTATCAGTTTAACGGAGTGGATGAGAAGTTACATTGTTTGAATACACTTCAGGAATACAAATCATTCGAAAAAATATTTTCGAAAACATTGAAAAGTTATCCACTATCTCTAAAATCAAATTTACTTAATAATATCGGTACACTGCCTGCAGCTATGAATACTGTCTCCTCTTCGACACCCTCCACTTATTCTCCATCTGTTTTCAAAGATATAAATACGTCATTGGTAGTGACCTCTTCAACATCACTATCTATCTCTTCTACATTCCCTACTACATCTACTGCTTCTGTGCCTGTCACTTCCCCTTGTGCATCAGTTTGTTCAGACATTAATCAACGTAAATTTTTGTCAAGATTCAATCAAATTTGTCTGTTAAATTCACGCCTTCCTAACTCGTTACCACCTATTCCTCCGATCTTTTTCAATCCTACAGACGATACAATTAACAATAATTTCAATCATATCAGTAATAATAATACAAACAATACAAATAAATTTTCCACCAGTAATTTTTACGATTATACAAGTATACAGAATGATGGACAAGAAAGACAACAACAGTCACTTTCACATAGTTTTGGAGCAAAAACTAATATTAACTATTCTCAGCCACATAATATTTCTTTATCATCATCTCTTCCTTGCAAATCTCCCAGTCCATATTCATTATCTTCAAAATCATCTATATTTTCACCATCACAATCGTTTACATCAGTCATAGGAAGCATCGATTATAATAATGTTATTACTACTGCTGCCAATAATAGTATTGACCATAACAATACTAATATGACAACTGTATGTAGTTCACAAAATAAACATCACCGTCCACAACAAAATCTACCCAATTTAAATAGTAAACAACATCATAATCACATAAGTTACATAAACAAATTATACGATAAATTAAACGCAAGTGAAAATCTACTCAATATAAAGCTTGACAAATCACTATTATTGAACGATAATTTTAGTAGTGAATCAACCAGTGGGATCACACTATCAGAATCTTATCAAAACCAACTAATTAATTATTCACATGAACTACGAATGGTAAATTTGCGTTGTTGTTTTTATGTAATAAGAAAGTTTATTCATTCATTAGTTCACTTTTTTCCCCACATTTATTTTGTAACTGCAAGGATCTTTGGAAATGGTTTTTATTTAGAGTTTAGTAAACTTCTGAATCTGGTCAGAACAAATGAGGCTTCTTTTAAAGTTTATCTGATGATATAGAGACTACTTATATCATATACCGCCATTATTACAATCAATGAATACACTAATTGAAATATTGCCATCATGTTAACTACCAGTGTAGTATGGCTGGTTAGATAACGTTTATCTTTGTGAAAATATGATGAAGGAAGATCTTACCACACCTTAAACATTCCTCGTTAAATAATACTGAGTTATTTCACAAATATTTTCAGTCATAACTTTCATCATTAGTATTACTGTAAGATAACTTTTGAACTATGTATTGACTGTCCCAATAAATTTTGTGATAGAGCAGTTGGTTCTGACGAACTTCTACTGTGATGTGTGCTACTTATGTTGACAGATGTAATTAATATGTAGCACCAATTCAACGTGGAATGCATGTCAACAAAAGACTGAGATATAATTCAAGAGTACAGAATGGGAAACAAAAATTAATTGTAATAGCGACAGAAATTAGGGAATTGTAAAGCATAAAAAGGACAACTGAAGGAAGATGTACAAATAATGTATTTTGTGAAAGCACTCAGTAATTCCGCATTAAACAATAAGTTTATCTTCCCCACCTGAGTGTTCGTTCACTATACTACTAATTATCCTTTAACCAAATGAATAGATATGAAATGCCATTTTAATTAGAAACATTAAAAGTGAAATTCTTCAGTTCGATAGCACTATTTGCCTGTTATGCTTTTGTAAAAAGAATCCGTAACTTTCTTTCAATGCCTACAATTGAATCAGTCATTTTCACGGTGGTGAGAATTCAGTCTCTGTATGCATAATATAAGTAAGTTATTCAAGATAAATCAACGGTTTTGAGGCTGATGAATCAAAATTTGATTATCTGTTCAGTTTTCTTTAGCATGTTTGTTCAGGAATATAATATCAGTCATACTACATACTAATGGTTTTCATCAAAATGTTAGTGTTACTAGTCTCTCTCAAGAAGGAAATTTACTTGTTTCTCTTTCTCCGATAGTTTTTAAAAACTTTATAATTTTATTGAAACTTCTCTTGTTAGGATTCTTATACTGATATGAAAGCTAATTGTAAGCTCGTAATGGTTTGCAGGAAGCAGAAATTATTTCCAATTTTGTCCAACTTACACCGGCTCCCCAATCATAAGTTTAATTTTTGACCATCATTTGTCTGTTTCATATACAAAACTTTGGAGTATGTCGAAAACTCATGGGTGAAAATGGTTGAAATACTCATTTATATGTATTTAAGTCTTATGATATTGAACTATAAGTGACTGTCTGATATTTTGAAGTTATAGTTTATCGTATATTTTCTCCATCTCAAATAAATAGTTAAATCTTAGTGTATCTTATTTTGAGGCCAATAATAGAATTCATACTGAGTGTTCAATTCTTTTCAGAACACGTCAAATGAATTACACCTGGATCCTGATTTTCATCTTCAATTAAGATTCTGACTAAAATCTTTTACTTCATTTTCAACTACTTTTTTCCTAATAACTTATTCATTTTGTTCCCTTGATTGTGTTTCTTTGTTCTCGACATCATTCTCATTTTCCATACTGTTTGCCTAAAGTCTGAAGATAGAATAACTAAAATAATACTTGAATACAAGAGCAGGAAAGAAAGAATATTTTAACGAAACGAATAATTCACAGAACCAAAAAAAGAGTTGAAGAGTGAGAAAACACACTAAGATTACACAAATCTACGAAAAAAAAATCATATTTTATTCTTCGAATTCGTCATCGAATTATTTCTACTTTTTTTCTTTCTTATCCTTCTTCTTTTATCCTAATTTTCATCTTTTTTTGTTTTCAAATTGGCATACATTTCCGGAGTAAATAAAATTTCTTTCGCTACGTTTTTTTCTTTCTTCTCTGTAAATTATATTCAATAAATTTTTGGTATTTTACCAGTATATTTATTGAATAGTTACGGGTATAAGAGAGAAGAAGAAAAAGAAGAATGAAAGAAAGAAACTAGTGTTTGTTATTGCTATAATTGTTTTTTTTTTAAATATTTGTCACAATAATAATGATAATAACGCTTATTCGATGGAACATCTTGTTTCTTTCATTTGTACTCCGTTTTCTTCTTCTCTTTCCTGTAAAGTTATTAGAATTCATTCATATTTGTCTTTAATTTATTGGAAAGAAGTAAAATATTAACGGGAAATGAAAACAAACTCACAGAATCCCATTTGACTTCATCAGCATCATCATCATCAACATCGCTATCACAGTTCTAACCACTACCAATGTGTTTATAACAATATGGCCTATACCTTACAATGCTAATAAATACATATGATCAAACTAATGCATACAAAAATGTACATACATAAATATGCTTTTATCTTGCCTACCTGCTGTTCGTAACAGGCACCCATCGTTTGATGTGTGAGTCTGTCAGTATACATATACATTAGTGTATGTATGAATGTATATGTGTATGTCTGTATATGTAAAGAAGAGAGCAAATAAGGAATAAAGATAAAAAATTAATAATAACAGAGGCGAAAAAGGTTATTTCTTTCATTTTTCAACATTTCCGTTTCTTTTTCTCCACAACATCATTCGATCACACATATAAATATATACATATTATATAAACTATCACTTGTTTTCCTGTTAAACAACTTTGTCTAAGATACACTTCCTATTAGGTTATCAATGTAAATGAAGCAAAGCTATTTCCATTTCTTCTTTCTTTCTTTTTCATTGAAAAAAGGGGGTAGGTGAATCTTTTATCTAAGTGTGCAAAACAAAAGAAAAAGAAAGAACTGAATGACTTTCCATTTATTAGTAGTTGGCACATTTTTGGAGAAATCTTCAATTGTTTTTTTGTTCTTACATTTTTCGGATAAAATTTATTATTGTTCTTATCATCCATTCTCTTATTTTGTTTGTGTGTTTATGTATTCATATGTGCGTGCCTGTCATTGTGCGGACTTTTTGAGTTATATTGAATATAACTTTGAGTATATTTTTGTTCGTATGTAATGAACAGTTTCTTTTTTGGTAAAAATACACACAACTTAGGATAGTACAAGGTTTGAATAGAATAAAGGATATCCCTTATTTGTGTATATGTAGAAATTATTTTTTCTTATTTCATTTTAGAATAAATAATAATACTCGTTTGCATATGTCAGATTACAACAAAGAATACTTTTTTAACAACAGTACCAATTATGAATAGTAGTACTGATAAGAAAAGAGTTTTAGTCATAAACTGAATTTTCTATGAAGCAGTAAGGAATTGTTAAATTACTTCAAAGACATCAATGATGTTGATTAGTTTCTCTATAAGAATAAGTTTTAAAGAATGTAGTGTAGTTCATTTAAGTTTACAAATGTTGAAAATGCATTCCACTAAGCAAAATAAGAAATAACTTTATTTATGTTTAGTTATTCTTCATTTATTGTCTGACTATTAACTAAACCGATGATATGTAAAAGGTAAGTGAATTCTACAAATTATTTCACTGTAGACTCATCAGACTACTTATGTCTATACAGTTTGGTTAATAATGTGATATAGAAAATTATAAATATGTTTCTAATTTTCTGTCTTAACTTTGTATAATTGTGTATTCGTTAAAAGTTCTATACTACAAACACATTTCAATATTGTTACTCAACTAGTTCCATATAAAGCTGCCTATTTGACTCCTTTCAAATCAACTCGTTTTTTTTCACAATAACTTAATAGGATCTAAGATACACCATTCAAAATAGTTCATTTCCTAATTACTGAAACTATTGAATTATAACCCTATGAATTGAAAGTCATATATTTGCCAACAAAACGAATCATTCTAGGTTCAGTACAAAGAACCATGGACTAGTTACATGTACTAACTTTTATTTTACAATGAAGCCAGTTTATCAAATCGGTTAATAAAAATATTATTTCCTAAATTTCTTTTTAGAAATCTCTATCCATTCATTCTTCTTTTTTTTGCTTTGTTTTCTTTATTTATCTAAACAATTTCTAGACAACAACTTTAACACCGGTACATTTACGTAAAGCAAAATTGATGTTTTTCTATACACGATATCCTAATTCAACACTTATTAAAATGTATTTCCCTGATGTAAAATTCTATAAAAATAATACAGCTCAATTAGTGAAATGGTTTAGTAATTTTCGGTAAGTCAATTTTTTCTTAGTTTATTGTTCATTTTTTAATTGATTTTTTAAAAAAGTTTTCTTAGTTGTAAATTAATCCATCTGTATTTCAGTGATAATTAGAATAGAACTTAGTACCCCTAAACTTTAAACGGTAGATAATTATTTACCTGATGGTTGAGTTATGTAAATTAGTCACTCAGTTAACGAGTATTTATGTTTTTTATGGTTAGCGCTTTTTTAGCGAGTTAGTTTTCCACAGAATAGGGTCGCTAACCTCATGCCTAACCCTCTTCCTTTATCCGGGCTTGAGACTGGTGGTAGCCCCCGGAGGGATTCCAGGCGGAGTTATTTAAGGTTTTTATAGTTAAGTATTTGTCAAGTGTAATATCTTTACAGATTAAATATTCGTTGGTAGATGTAAAGATATATCAAATCAAATTTTCTGAAAAGAATCTGTTTTAATACATTTTTACAACGTAATAGATAACTGAATGTTAAAGTATTTATAGAAGATGCATGCATAGCCATCGATCGTACATTTTTATCTTACGGTGTGTTCTGCAATCTGAACCGTCTTTTTTTCTGGTCTTCAAGCCTTCTGCCTATGTTGTGCTTCTGACGTACCGAAACTGTTCTTTCAGTTTGACAACTGTAGCGGCTTCGACACCACGTTCCACAACAAACTACTTACAGCCAATCTGGCTAGTAGTATTTACCACAAAGGTACACATAGTTCAGCGTATACTGATCAAAATCCAGCCAAGAATATCGAAAGAGGGAGAATTAAGACATGTACTAACAATTATCTAAAATCATACAGGATAAGTATGTTAGTAGCTCCCCAAACTCAGTAGCTCAGTAGATAACATTTTTAGAGCTTGAATAGAAAGGTACTGGGTTCAAGTTCCAGTGCGAATATGAACACGGATACAACTATATACAACAGATGATTCATAATTAGAACAAAATGCGCTCACTCGATTTCAGTACTCTCCACATTTCATTTAATCTATAACTGAGAACATAACTTGTACTCAAGCATAACTGAATATGGCTTAAATATAACTTTCGGAATATTCTTGTGGTTAAACTATGATAGAAAAAGATTAGATTTTAATTCTTCATGATAATATTACATCCTTTACTATGAATCAAGTGAGAAGTTATCTAGTTCTCGAATAACTGGTACTAATATTTTCTCAGTTTATCCTAACCTTGAATATACTACTTCAATGAAAAACGTCCTAGTTAAAAATATTTATTAACTTTTCCCTTCAGTGCGCATGCAATATAATATGAGTACTTGCAAACTGTAACTTTACAGTGCCCACCAGAAAAGTATCGTTTCTCATTCAACCTAGTACAAACACATTACATTAAGTGTGATCGGCTGAAGCCTGACAAGCAAACTATTAAACGACAGCTTAGTGATTTAAAAGCTAAGTGAATGCTACAAAACCTGGAGATGTTAGGTTCATTAGTTAATAGGGTTGTGAATGTGCAATATTGAGGAGTTTGGTACTGGGAAGAAATAACTGTTTTTTTTTCTTGGTTTTAAATGGTTATCTTACTAAGATCGTCCCGTTATATAAATAAGCAAACTAATTAATCAGGGTAATAAATAACAAGAAAACAAATTTCATGTAGAACAATAAACTCTGTTAAGTCTTGTAGATCACTATTGTGAAACACGACAACAGACAAGAGAAATGTATATTTATCATGTGAATTAAATTATAATAAACATCTATAGTTTTCAATCTTCCATTTGCATCTTTCGGCATAAAAACCAACATCTTACTTTCAACGTAATGAAACTCTTCACTCTATCTAACAATTGTTGTAACTTCGACGACATGTTTCGACAAGTACTGTTTATAAGCAAGCAGTTTTATCAATACAGTTCAATACACCACCAATTCATATAGATTATTAGTTACATTTCATTTTCTAATATCACAAGCTTAAACCGTTACTAAAAATGATTTCATCTGTTAACATAGAGTAAGATATTGTTCATTATTAGGTAGATTTAAAGTGTTTTGTTTTTATCAGAAAGGGCTTTGTGGAGATTGTAGTAATTTCAACAGTTGAGATCATGAGTCAATTGAAGCTAGACCACCATGGGAAACCTGGAAGCACTGGACGGCCGTTTCATCCTATTGTAGTAACTCACTGATGACAATAGTCAGTGTGTCGCTCAATTTCGTGGATTAACTGAAGTTAGACATTAACACCGTTGAATGCCGGCCGGCTCAGTGGTCCAGTTGGTTAAGCGCCTGACGCGAGACTGATGGGTCCCGGGTTTCGAATCCCGCGGGGTGCCGGATCGTGGATGCGCACTGCTGAGGAGTCCCATACTAGGGCGAAATGTCCGTCCAGTGATTCCAGGTTTTCCATGGTGGTCTAGCTTCAATTGACTCATGTTTCGTTTTTTTAAAATTTAAAATAAAGTCAAAGAAATTTCTTATTTTAAAATCAACATTTATCATAACTTTTAATACATTCAACAAGAAAAGAATAAAAATGTTACGATGAACTCATGAGAATATTAAAACATCAATCTTATGAATAATTTCTCAAGGGAACATCTCATCAATGAATTTTTTATGGAAAATAAACAAAAAATTAAAAAAAAAAAGAATTTCAATATAAAGAAATTCAATCTGGTAATCTGTACATAGTCAATTAATCATTTACGCTACAATATACTTTTTTTTTAGTATTTTTCTTTCATCCATATTTCTTTATTTTTATTTTTATTTTTTTTATTTTTTAAAATCTTAATCAAAATCATTTTCTATGTTAATTTGGGTTGTATATTAAGGTACATGTTCAATGCTGACATAGATATTTGGTTTCAATGGATTGTTTTTGATGCATTAATGAATAATTTAAGATAAATAAATTTTTTTTTTTTTAATAAACAAAAAATTATTTTGAATGAACGCTACATTTGATATGTTAGCAATTACACGATTAATTTAAATAGAGAAATTTTGTCTGTTAAATTGAATTTTAAATGTCCCATAATTCTATATGAATTCATTATTTGAATATATTGTATTGAATAAGAAAGATTAGTTCAATGAAGAGTCCTCTTTTCGGCGAAAGCTGTACAATTGCAAATACATATATACTTACTCTGCAGGATAATAATAATACTAATAATCGAACACCTTGTGAACACAGGTCACTCAATCAAGATATGCTCTGCGTTCAAAGATATCTACAAGGTAAGTAGGAGTCTTTCAAAGACAATTAGATTGCATCTTCTTTGCATTGCCAAAGTAATAGACATACATCTGAAAAAAACCAGAATTATGTGTGTAAAAGAGATTGATACAATCTCTTTTTCTACAATGATCTGAATATCTTGTTATTTTCTTCTTTTTTTCTTTCTTCATATTCTTCTTCCTTTACAGCCATCTGCTTTTCCTTCCATCTCCCCTATAAAACTTCTACCCCCAACTGGTTTATTTCTGGGATTCTTCTGATTACATTTAATTTCAAATTCAACATTTTATCTTATGCTGAGCCATCCTTTCCCATTGATAATTTCCCTATCTATCATTTGATGAATACTTAGGTCTTTAACAATCAAACTATTATTAAGTTTTCATTGTTTTAAATTTTTTAAATACTTCTGTTTACTTTGCCATACTGTCACCATGTCTAACAGAAGTTTATTATCAGTATTATTATAACTATCATCATCCTGACAAATAAGTATATATATATTTGCGATAGTATAGCTTTGAAAATGAACTCGCCGAAAAGAGAACTCGCTGAACTAATCTTTCTTATTTATTGTCTTAATGGGTGCATTCCGTTTACTGAATATATTGTGTTAAATTATCAAATTAGGTGAAAAAAACGTTGTTATGGTATCAAGTGTGATGAAATTACGAGATATGAACTATTGGTAAATTGGAATTTTTTTCGGTTCAAATGTTTTGCTCAACTGTCTGAACCTTGATGAAAATTCCATTAAACTATTTAATGAACCATCAGAAAACTTCAATCTTAGTCTTTTTTTTATAATAATAATTGATATAATGTAGTTGACCACTGCAAACAACAAAAGATGGCTATGCAACATCGTGGATTGATTAAAGTTAGAAATCAACACCGTTAGATATCCGTTCAATGATTTGGAAATTAAGAGAGGCCGGAGGTCCTGAGTTCGAGTTTTGTGCACTGTTGAGCAGTTCAATACTAGGACGAAACGGCCATCCAGTGCTCACAGGTTTTCAACTGTAGTTTAACTTAAATTAGTTCATGATTTCAATGAAATTCATTAATTTTTACACCCCCATACTGAAAACAATTTGCACTTATTACTTTCATTTATCATACACTAGTGTGTATATCAATCATTTAGCTCATTTCTAAGCTGTAAGGTTTAATGTACAGCCAAATAGAGATTGCCTAAGATGAAGTTGTACTACATATCATCACTATGACAACTCTAAATAGTTGATAGTAAAGTTGACTATAATAATGTACTAACGAAGTTCGAATTAAGTGATAGTTACACAAATAAAAAAAAATTATCTTAAAATTAACTTTAATCACGAACTAATATTAATAAGAAATAGTAATAAGAGTCAAATAGAGATGAATGGACATTTAGTTTCATTTTGCAAATTCTTAACATTATATATTGAAGAGCTAATCCTGAGTTAAACCAGAAGTATTTAACTTTCGACGTTGAAATATAACCATCGGTATTTAAATTTTTTTTAACGCATTCACCAATAAGCATGAATTTAATAATTATTAAGATAAATTGCGATTAGTTGTTTATTTTATTACATAAATCTTCATTCCATACGGACATTAACTGAAGGAAATAATAAAAAAATAGACATCCATTCACTTGGTATTGTTTTGTTTGTATCTTCCCATTGAGGTTTAATTGTATTATTTCAATTTGAAACCGTTCAGAATTATAAAATTAATAAAAAACACAACCACTAGAAAGAATTCATTGAGAAAATTAGAACAACACATAT